GAGTTAGGGAAGAGCGTTCTCTCTATCCACAGGACCAGAAAGAGTTAAATAATGAAAAATGTTATTCAAGTTAGGCCAACTAGAATGAAATTCTTCAATATAAATGGATAGTTTTTTAAATGATAATACGTTCTTATGATAAAAAAGTTTACTGGAGCGGGTTAGGGGAAAAAAAAGTTTACTTATGCTGAGTAAATGTGCAAACAATAAATTTCTTAGCTTCATTCTCCATCATATTCATATGAATCTCTTGGTGATTAAAATAGCATTCATTATATTTAAGAGAATTTACGATTGTGAATAGATAAACCCCAACTCCTCATTTTGTTACGTAGTAAAAGATACACATATGGGTTTTATTTCTTTTCCTGAATATCTAAGTGGAAAAAATACATACAGATAATCAGGAAAAAGTTAACCTAAAGAAATAATTTTTACATTACTCCTGAAATGCTTTCACTTTATTCAAGAATATAATAATGAAGATGGATACCATGTTATACAGCATAATTTACTTTCTCTCTTTCGTCCTACAAATATCTGGAATTACCTGGGTGGTCTACATCTAAGCATCGTCCACACCATTTGGTACAACTGATGTTATACCTCTAAGATCATTTATGATTGGAGAATCATAAGTATAACAAATATTGCCATAACATCAAATATTCTTATACGAGGGGATTAAAATCTGCTGTTTTGTTTGTTGAACTTTGTGATGTTGAATTGAGTTGCTAAAAGATATTATTAGGTTATTATTGAATACAGCAATTGGATGCTTAGTAGATGGGAACGGTAACATGTGGTAATATTAGTTCTAATTAAAATATGTGATAGAGGGACTTCCTTGGTGGCGCAGTGGTTAAGAACCCGCCTGCCAATGCAGGGGACATGGGTTTGATCCCTGGTCCGGGAAGATCCCACATGACGTGGAGCAACGAAGCCCATGCACCACAACTGCTGAGACTGCGTGCTGCAACTACTGAAGCCCATGTGCCTAGAGCCTGTGCTCTGCAACAAGAGAAGCCACTGCAATGAGAAGCCTGAGCACTGCAACGAACAGTAGCCCCCGCTCGCTGCAACTAGAGAAAGCTCATGCACAGCAACAAAGACCCAACGCAGCCAAAAATAAAAAAATAAAATAAAATAAAATTTTAAAAAGTTCAATGGCAAGGGAATATTGTGTAAAAAAAAATATGTGATAGAATGAAATAGTAGCTGACTGGCTCTAGATAACATGCTTCCTATAGGCAGGTTTACACCAGTAATTACAGATTGCTGTGCAAGATATAAATGGATAGTTTTTAGGTTTGTTCTGGAGTTTCGTTCTCAGGTCTTAATAAACAGCCATCAGAAGTATCTTTTAAAATCCCATTTTTGCTTTTGAATTTTCTTTATTCATATGGTTTAAAAGCTGCTTGTGTAATTACAATTTTTAATCAAGAAAAAGCTTTGTCATGAAAATTTGAGATCTCTCTGGTCAGATCAGATTGGATAATAGTTTTAAATTTTTCTTGTGGTTTTCTTCATACTAGACACAGTCTATAGAATCCAACCACCCACCCTTGGCAATTGTCTCCTTCACTAAAAATAAATTCAGCCTCAGCAGAATTAAGGAGAACAGACTGCTTTTGACAAAGCATTAACAAAGTCATCTTATTTCTATTAAAGTGGTTCAGAAGCCAATTAGTAATTTATTCCAGAAACGAAGGTACACAACCGTCCTAGAATTAACGTTCGTTCTCTGCAAAGAATTAGCTTCAGAGCATCCTCCCAGAGCACAAGCAAGACATACGGTGTTCCAAAGGCTAATAAGTAAAGAAACAAGTTTTGGAACTGGAGGGGCTTACTCCAGCAAAGTCAATTATTTTAGGTACTAAGGCATCACAAATTATTCCATTAAGCAATTCCTAAGTGGTTACCAATGGCTACCAGGTCCTCTTTCTGCTTCCTTTTTTTATACAGTCAAAACCCAAATTAATGGGCTTCCCTGGTGGCACAGTGGTTAAGAATCCACCTGCCAATGCAGGGGACACGGGTTCGAGCCCTGGTCCGGGAAGATCCCACATGCCGCGGGAGCAACTAAGCCCGTGCGCCACAACTACTGAGCCTGCGTTCTAGGGCCCATGAGCCACAACTACTGAGCCTGCATGCCACAACTACTGAAGCCCCCGCTCCTGGAGCCTGTTCTCCGCAACAGAGAAGCCACTGCAATGAGAAGCCCGTGCACCGCAACAAAGAGTGGCCCCCGCTCACTGCAACTAGAGAAAGCCCATGTGCAGCAACAAAGACCCAACGCAGCCAAAACTAAAATAAATAAATAAAATAAAACCCAAATTAATGTCTCAAACTAAAAGTCAGAAAACAATCCAGATCAGTCGGTGTCTAACCAGGAAACAGACCATTTGAGTATTTCAGAGAGAGAATTTAATACAGGGAATTGGTTACACAGAGGATGGAAGAGCTGGGAAGCCAAACAGGGCAGTGAAGAGCCCAGAAACTGGCAAGAGCAGGAGGCCAAAACCCCGAGCCACAGGGACAGAGGCA